CCTCCATGCAATAGGCCACGGAAGGAGTGAACGATGAGGACGTGCTGGGCATCTATACTCGGAAGGCTATGCAAGAGGATGCGCGCATCTCGACCAAGTAAATGCATGCACCCGCTCATCTCGCTGACTGCGCTGATGAGCATTGCCGCGCACAGAAAACCTGATTAGATAGAAATGGAAGAGCTCGGTCTTACAATGCTTGGGGAACCTAAGCAATGTTTGACTGGTTTTGCATTGCGCGCTCGCTTACGAGCGCGAGTATGCTCCAATGTTGTTGTTACAGTGGCTTCGCAAGAGAACTCCAGTAGTATCCACCAAGGCACGTGGATGTGACAAGAGACAAAGAGCTTACAAATGATCCGGGCCAGGGCCAGGTCCGGTTGCGCATCGAATGGAATGAACTCAAAGGTAGGATGAACGTGATGTCCAACGCATCGTATCATTTTCAAATTACCGCGCGATCGCACAAAGGCCAAGTGGGCGGACCAACACATGTTATGTATTCACGGGTCGGGCGGACACGAACCATACACAACATACGAAGACACATCGGAAACTGCCAGGGCAAGATTTGGCCGGTCTGGCGCATGGGGCACAGTTCAAGCTGCTTCGCGTACACTCTTAATGCCTCCGGCGCCACTCAGCATCCCTCGGCGGCAGCCTCGGCAGCCGTGAATGCGCTCGCTGGGTAATTAGGCTCCGCCCGTAGCCTGGGTCGACCTGTGACGCCGCCTGCGCCTTCGCTTGCGGCTGCGACCAAAAATACACTCTCAATGGAGCTCCTCTTCACATGGCTGAGGCTCATACAGTCCGCTACCGTGCCGCTGGGCACGGAATGGGCGTGTCCTCAGGTCCTGGGCCCCCTCACCCAGAGCCCCAGTCCTCACTCCGGAGGGGTCTTTCAACAAGGGGGCCTGGGAGTGGCGCGTCTTCTCGTGTGCCTCTTTCGGGCCCAAGAGGACCCGAGCCCACCACCCAGGCACGGTGGCGGGATGGGCCTAAGACCACTCGATCCGCTGCCCCCTGTTGATTTATCAAAGGGGCGGTGATTCGCCATAGGCGTCGTCGATCCGCCGCCCCCTTTTGATTTATCAAAGGTGTGCCTGGCGTGCCAAACTATAGGGGTTTTGGTTTTGATTCTTTTTTCAAAAGATCTCCCCCTGGGGCTTCGGCCCGTCCCCAAACTGCACAAGTCAATGCCTGTTCCGCCCCAAGATGGCCCAAGATGGTCCCAAGACGGCCAAAATGGCCCAGGATGGCCTCCAAGATGCCTCCAAGACGGCCAAGATGGCCTCCAAGACGGCTAAGATGGCCCCAAGATGCATCCAAGACGGCCCAGGATGGCCCCAAGATGGTCTCAGACGGCCAAAAGGCCCGCAAGAGGCCTCCAAGACGGCCCAAGAGGTTTCCAAGAGGTCCTCCAGGAAGGCCCGAAGAGGCCAAAATCATTGATTTGCCTAAGGTTGTTGACGGATTTTGGTATTTGCGCCTTTTCGGCTTTCCGACGGCCCAAGACGGCCCAAGAGGCCCCCAAGATCGCCCCAAGATCGCCCAAGAGGCCTCCAAGATGGCCCCATGACGGCCCCAGACGCCCCCAAGACGGCCCCAAGAGGGCCCCAAGACGGCCCAAGAGGCCTCCAAGACGCCCACGATGACCTCCAAGACGGCCCCGACGGCGTCAGACGTGCCAGGAACCCACCAAGATGGCTGAAGTGGGCTCAAAGCTGGCCCAAGACGGCCCAAGGGGCCCCCAAGAGGGCCTCCAGGAAGGCCAGAAGATGCCAAAAACATGGATTGCCATTTTTTTGACGGATTTTGACAGTTGCTTCTTTTCGGCCCTCCGACGGCCCGAGATGGCCCAAGAACCTCCAATGATCGCCGAAAGGTCGCCCAAGAGGCCTCCAAGATGGCCCCAGAACGGCCCAAGAGGGCCCCAAGACGGCCCCAAGAGGCCCCCAAGATGTCACAGGAGGCCTTTAAGACGCCCAAGATGGCCTCCAAGACGGCCCTGGAGCATTCCAGGAGGGCCCCAAGTCGGCCCATAGAGGCCCCCCAAACGGCTTCCGACGGCGTCAGACGGACCAGGAGCCCACCAAGACGGCCGAGCATGGCCCTAAGATGGCCCAAGACGGCCCAAGAGGCCTCCAAGAGGGCCTCCAGGAAGGCCCGAAAAGGCCACAATCATTGATTTCTCATGGGTGTTTGAAGGATTGTGGCATTTGCTTCTTTTCTGCCTTCCGACGGCCCGAGACGGCCCAAGTGCCCCCAAAGATCGCCCAAGAGGCCAAGACACGGCCCCAAGAGGCCCCCAAGACGGCCCAAGAGGTCTCCAAGACGCTCAAGATGGCCTAAGAGCCCTCCAAGACGTCCTCCAAGAAGGCCCGAAAGGGTCAAAATGGCCTCCAGACGGCCAAGATGACCTTCAAGATGCCCACGTGTTCCCCGAAGGCTTTCCAAACCGATTCGGGGAACACATGGTCCGATAGCTTGGCAGATCTGGCCTCAATGTTCGGCCACATAGGCGCTTCCAAAAAGGCAGGGGGCGGCGGTGATTCGCCGTAGGCGTCTTCGATCCGCCGCCCCCTGTCGATTCATCGCGGGGGTGCCTGGCGTGCTAGACCCTTTCGCTTTTGGTCATGGTTCTTTTCCAAATGAACTCCCCTTGGGGTTTCGGCCCGTCCCGCCGGAGATGCGTAACAGGTGGCTGCCAAGGGTTTCTCGGCTCCAGACGGCTCCAAGATGGCCTCCGAGATGGTCAAGATGGCCCAAGATGGCCTCCAAGTTCGTCCAAGTTGGTCCAAGATGGCCTCGAAGACGGCCCAAGAGAGTCCAAGATGCCTCCAAGTTCGCACAAGAAACTCCTAAGACGGCCCAAGACGGCGCAAGAGGCCTCCAAGAGGCCTCCAAGACGGCCCAAGAGGCCTCGAAGAGTTCCTCCAAGACGTCCCCAAGAGGTCAAAATAATTCCCCAATCAGAGCTTGCCTCTGTAGGGGTCCTAGCGGATTCATATGATTAGGCTAGGTTTGTCGCGTGCCCAGGTGCCCGGGGCTGCCCGGGGGGGCCCCGGGGGGCCCAGGGGTGCCCTATAGCCCTATAGCCCTAAGCCCTATAGCCCTATAGCCCTATAGCCCTATAGCCCTATAGCCCTACAACCCTATAGCCCTACAACTCTATAGCCCCATAGCTCTATAGCCCTATAGCTCAATAGCCCTAAGCCCCCTGGCCCTATAGCCCTGATTGGGTTATTTCTCCGGTATCATTGTTTATCCTTAGGTGTTTGAAGGATTTGGACTTTGGCTCCGTTTCGGCCGTCTGACGGCCCAAGACGGCCCAAGAGCTCATCAAGATCGCCCCCAGAGTGCCCAAGAAGCCTCCAGCATGGCCCCAGGACGATCCAAGAGGCCCCCAAGATGGCCCCAAGATGCCTCCAAGACGGCCAAGATGGCCTCCCAGACGGCTAAGATGGCCCCAATATGCCTCCGAGACGGCCCAAGAGGCCCCCACGAGGCCTCCAAGACGGCCCAAGAGGCCTCCAAGAGGCCCTGCAGGAGGACCCGAAGAGGCCAAAATCATGGATTCCCCAAAAGCTTTTTAAGGAAGTTGGCATTTGCTCTTTTTCTGCACTCCGACGGCCCAAGACGGCCCAAGAGGCCCACAAGATCGCCCCAAGATTGCCCAAGAGGCCTCCAAGATGGCCCCATGACGGCCCAAACGCCCCCAAGATGACCCCAAGAGGGCCCCAAGAGGCCTCCGAGACGGCCAAGATGGCCTCCAAGACGGCCCCGATGGCCCCAAGTTGAATACAAGGCGGCCCAAGATGCACCCAAAGCGGCCTAAGATGGCCTCAAATGGCCCGAGACTGCCCAAGAGGCCCCCTAAGAGGCCTCCAAGACGACCCAAGAGGCCTCCAAGAGGTCATCCAATATCAAAATCATTGATTTTCCGAGGGTTGTTGAAGAGTGTTGGCATTTGCTCTCGTTCTGCATTCCGACGGCTCAAGACTGTCCAAGAGGCCCCCAAAATCGCCCCAGGATTGCCCAGGAGGCCTCCAAGATGGCCGCATGACGGCCCAAGAGGCCCCCAAGACGGCGACCTCCAAGACGTACAAGATATTCTCCAAGACGGCCCTGAAGGGACCCAAGGGAGCCCCAAGTCGGTTCAGAGACGGCGTCCGACGGTGTCAGACGGGTCGGGAGCGCCCTGAGACTGCCAAAGAGGCCACCAGAAGCCCCCAAAGGCCTCCAAGAAGCCCCCAAGAGGCCCAGGAAGGCGCCCAAGAAGCCTCCAAAACGCTCCCAGGAAGCTCAGCAGAGGCCTCCCGAGAGGCCTCGCAAGACGGTTCCCAAGACGTCTCCTCCTCCTACTCCTCCTCCTCCTTCCCCATAATCCTCCTCCTCCTCCTCCTCCTCCTCATCGTCATCATCATCCTCCTCCCTGTCCTGATCCTCCTCCCATTGCTCCCCCACGCGTTCCCCGAAGGCTTTCCAAACCGACTCGGGGAACAACTGGCCCGATAGCTTGGCCAAGCTCTAGCCCAGCTGTCGGCCACGTAGGCGCTTCCAGAGGGGCAGGGGGCGGCGGTGGTTTGCCGTAGGCGTCTTCGATAAAAAGACTGTCAAGGGCGGGCTTGCTCGCAATGCAGGGAAGCCTGGAGGATGAGTCCGCCGCCAGCTCGGCCCTGCAGGGCCCTTCGGGCATAGCTCGTGCCAAAGAAGGCCGTTCTGGACGAGCCAAAAGCACCCGGAAGGCCCTCTACGAGGCACAGTTGGTGGAACCATTTTGGGCCAGCGACCGCAAGAGTGTCAGACGGCGGTCTAGCAGCGGCGGGGCGCGCCGAAGCACAGCGAGGCACGAACGGCCGCTGGAACACCACAGAGTCCGAATGGCCCTGGGAGCCACCGCAGAGCCAACGCTTCCAGCATTTGGCCCGAAGCCTGGCGCCCCTCCCCCCCCCCGTCCTGGGCCCCCGCCCTCCGACCTACCCAGGCCCTCGCGGCGCCTCGAAGCCGTTGTCACGTCGGCGGCTCGCCGCGCGGCTCGCTGCTTGCCCCTGCGTAAGCGGGGGGGGAGAAGGAGGAGAGGGGGGAGGAGGCAGGGGTGAGGATGGTGATGGGGAGGATGAGAAGGTGGAAGAAAGAAGAGGGCGAGGAGGGGGGAGGAGTAAGACAAGGAGGGGGAACATGAGGAGGGGCGAGGAAGTGGAGGGAAGACAGGACGAGTCAAGAATTCTGACAAAGCCTTTGTAAGTCCGAAGAAACTGCGAAGCTGCCGGAAGAGGCAGGAAGGGACAGGGAGAAGGGGGAGGAGAAGGGATAGCAGCATCGAGGAGAGAGGGGGAGGCGGCAACCCTCCTAGTCCTCTAGCCGCCAGAAACCTTCCTACCACACTCGAGAATTCTCACCCAACGCGAGAATGCCCCGAAGAGTGTCGAGAAGCGCCGGCGAAAACAGAAGACCACCGAAGATGTCTCCAAGCCTCCACCACTTCCCGCTCAAATTCGCCACCTGGACCTCTCCAACAACGCGTTGCGACCAAGATCTTGAAGTGCCACTCCCCTCCCTTCCCCGGGAGGTCCAAGAACCACAATACGTCAAAATCCCGTCGTCCTTCTTCTTACTCTCCTCCACCGTTTTTTCCCATCCTCGTAACACAACTTCTCCTCTTCACACCGCCAGACGTGCGGGTAGGTCAGGCGTTTCGCACGATTACGTCTGATCCTCGAGCTTGGGACTCCCAGTATCTTCCCGGGTGCAGGCTGTGCCATGCAAACTGCAGCTCTCGCCTAATCGCCAAGCGCATTCTCCCCCAAGGTGGCTCTCCCCGATGCACATCACACATGCGTTTGAAACTTCTCCAACAATTGCACGTCTTGAGTACACATCGTTGCCAACATGTTTCCCAATGGCGCCGCGCACGTTCGTCTTACACTACTCCAATGAAGGAGCTGTTGAACCAAACGCCGAGAGAAAAAACATGCAGTTCTCCACTAAAGCGTCGCTTACGTTAGTCATGGTAGGCACAGAAATACTGGTACGACTTAGTAATCACATGTAGTATAACCGTACACGGTCCTAGAACAGTTTTACAAAGTAATCGTAGTAATGGTGAGAGTAATAATAGTAATACTAGTAGTCGTCGTATGAGTAAGCATAGTAGTGATAGTAGTAGTAGAAGTATTCGCAGTAGTAGTGGTAGTAGTAGTAGTAGTAGTAGTAGTAGTAGTAGTAGAAGTAGTAGTAGTAGTAGTAGTAGTAGTAGTAGTAGTAGTAGTAGTACTAGTAGTAGTAGTAGTAGTAGTAGTCGTAGTAGTCGTAGTAGTCGTAGTGGTAGTAGTAGTAGTAGTAGTAGTAGTAGTACAAGTAGCAGTAGCAGTAGTAGTAGTAGTAGTAGTAGTAGTAGTAGTAGTAGTATAAGTAGCAGTAGTAGACATAGACATAGTAGTAGTGGACAAAGTAGTAGTAGTGGTCGTAGTCGTAGTAGTAGTAGTAGAAGTTGTCGTAGTCGTAGTCGTAGTGGTCGTCGTGGTAGTAGCAGTAATACCAATACTACTACTAGTAGTAGTCGTAGTAGTATAGTAGGGATACACATATTAATAGTAGTAGCAGTAAACATAATTTTGGCACTAGAAATCGTAATCGTGATGGTAGTCGTATATGTACTGATAGTAAAGTAGTAGTAGTAGTAGTAGTAGTAGTAGTAGTAGTAGTAGTAGTAGTAACAGTAGTAGTACTAATAGTAGTAATAATACTAGAAACAAAGCTCGTCGTAGTAGTCGTAATCGTATTAGTAGTAGTAGACGTAGTAATAGGGGTAGTCGTAGTAGTAGCAGTAGTAGCAGTAGTAGCAGTAGTAGTGATCGTAGTAGTAGTAGTAATGTTAGGCAAGAAGTAGTAATCATACTAGTAATGGCATAAGTCGCAGTATGAGTAGTAGTCGCATTACTGTTTAGTCGTAGTGGTAGTGGTCGTAGTAGTAGTGGTAGTAATAAGAAGCAGCAAATTACTCGTACCAGTCGCAGTAGTAGTAATAGT